AAACAATTTTAAATAAAGGGAAAAACATTAAACAAGATGGGGCAAACACTAGGAGAGGAGAAAAGGGAACATCAGGAATTAGCTGAGGGGAAGGCCTGCCGAAACGTCGATGTTTTTAATTGATTTTTGAAAATAATCTTTGGTATCATAGAAAGATCCTGTCTAACATGTATCTGGGATCTGATTTTCCCTAGATTGGTCTCCCACATACTAGGTCATTAAAAAAAATAAACTTCTGTATCTATGTCAAGAGCAGCAGGAATTGCATTTTAAATTGATGTACGCTGTTGGAGAAGGTCTGCTTTTCAAAGGCCAATTTTTGATTTTTGTTGTCTGCTGAATTGACAGGCATGTGTAAGATACACATGAAACCTACATTTTAAATGTTGAATATGCCTATAAAAGTGGTAAAAGGTAAAGGTTCCCCTTGACATTTTCAGTCCAGTCGCGTCCGACTTTAGGGGGCGGCACTCATCCTGCTTTTCAAGCCATAGAGCCAGCGTCTGTAGGAAGACAGTTTTCCATTGTCACGTGGCCAGCGTTGACTAGGGAATGCCGTTTTACCTTCCCACTGAGATGGTACCTATTTATCTACTCGCATTTACATGCTTTCAAACTGCTAGGTTGGCGAGGACCTGGGACAAAGCGTCGGGAGCTCATTCCGTCGCGTGGATTTGATCTTACAACTGCTGGTCTTCTGACCCTGCAGCACACAAAGGCTTCTGCAGTTTAGCCCACAGCGCCACCACGTCCCAATATAAAAGTGGTTAAGACCCTGCAAAAATAACAGTCCATAGATAGCTTAGTGAGTTACTGTAGGTATCTTATTGCAGATCCAGAGATTGGGAGTTCAATTCCCCACTGTGCATCCTAGAAGAGCCAGCCTGTGTGGCCTTGGGCAAGTTGCACAGTCCCAGGATGTCCCCAGAAGGGAATGGCAAACCTCTTCTGAGTACTGTAACTAGAAAACCTTGAAAAAGGTCAGTCAGTCAGTCAGAATTAGCTTGGCGGCACACAATTATTAAAGTGGCAGGAGCACATGAGTGGATGGCGAGGCAGCAACACCCTATTCTGCATAAGAGACAGCTTTGCTTATGCACCTTTAGTTCTAGCTCCTGTATGTACAGGTACTGCCATTTTCAAATTACCACTAAACAATCTTAAAGAGGTTGATGCCAGTATTGTTTTACCAGCAGGGTCTAAAAGCAGAATCAGCATACTCACAATTGCTGATTTAGTTTTAAAAGGAAGACAACAGAATTCTATAATGTACACTTGATGAGGTTTTGCACTGTAATGTGCACACTTAGCCACAGTTTTACTGAAGTACTTTCATAACTTTACCAGGTATCATGAAATCTTTTGGTCCACTTTCATTATAGCAAGCTTCACTTATCAGAATTACAGTGGTGCCTCGCACAACGAGTGCACCATAGAATGACGAATCCGCACAACGGGGCTGTTCTAGCGATCGCAAATGCGATCACACACCGACGGCCCCTATGGCTCAAAATCGCAGAGCGAAGGTCAGTAAGCAGTTCGCTTACCAACCTTCGCTTTGCGCCCCCGATCAGCTGTTCGGCGGCTTCAAAATGGCCACCGGAAGCCCCAAAATGGCCGCGCGCAGCGTTTTCGTGCCCTCGTTAAGCGAGGGGAGGGCGCGAAAATGGCTGCCGGCCATCAGAGAAACATTGCTGTACGGTGAGTAAAGCTGCTATTGGAACGCATTAAACTAAGTTTAATGCGTTCCAATGGCTTTTTTTTATCCGTACAGCGATGTTTTCACACAGCAAGGGTTAATCTGGAATGGATTAACCTCACTGTGCGAGGCACCACTTATGAATCTTGCACCACCAGCATTGCCCCTTTTGTAACTTCGTGACTTTTCATCTATGACTATACCAGTAATAATTCATGTAACAAATTGAAGGATTAATTCAGAGCTTGATGTTGCACAATCCTAAGAAGTGTCATAGACCTGTAAACAACAGATTTTCTGTACACAAGCAACTGCAGGATCTATTATTCTTTGTATATGCATAAATGCACGGGTAAGATTTTATTAATAGGATCTAGTTCTTCATTCACAGTTGATTGGTTTCTACTTCAGATGGCTAAATGTGACACCTTCCTTTGCAGAAATTACCAGGGGTAGCATTCTTAGTCCCATCTATGGCAGCATTTCAAGAAATGGGTTGCAACTCACAAATCTTTATGCCAAATGAAGTCTTCAAGGCACTACTAGATCTTTGTTACAGACTACTGGACAGACCAAAATGACTTTTTCCTTTGCAGTGTCTTATTGATGATACTGGTTTTTAGAAACTGATTCTGAAGAAAACAGCTTGCTGACAGCTGACCCCCTGCTACAACCACCACAGCTTGGATACTGAAAACCTTTGACCTTTTCAGCCTTATAGCTGTGTAGGAACTGTGCCAACAACCCCTCTGGAGAGTGATTTGGGCCATATTCCATAATACAATAAGAGAGAATACTTGATACACTCCTCCCATGCAAAATCACATTACAAATGGGCTTATTTACATCCCTGTTTGTTATTTCTCTGTGGAACTTTGTTCAGAACGGGTGGGGCAAGAGAGGCCCTCCAGATGTTGCACTGCAACTTCCAAAATTCCTCACCACTGGCAAGGCTGGGTAGGGATAATGGAAATTGCAGTAGAATATTTGAAGAACCACATGCTTCTAACCGTTGGTTTCAAAGTATCCAGTTATTAGAAGATAATGCTTATCCATGTTTTACCAGTAACTTCACTAAAAAACTGATTTTTTAAAAAAAAATTGATTAGATATTTATAGTGAACTCTTGAGGTGTCAGAACTGAAAAGGTTTGCCTACTTTTATATTTTGTTCAAGAAGAAAATTAATGCTAATGTTTTTATTGCAAACAGTTCAGTAATGTACTGCCCATTCAACATATACCACTGGATTGCTGGCGATCTTTACGCAAAGCAGGCTATCCATTTAAGTAAACTTTTGTCAAAATCACTACTGAATATTATAGAGAAAACTGAGAGATAACATGACAAGACACATGCCTTGTCCCATTCCTCTAGTTTCCTCAGACAAGCAATGGCTTGAACTTTTCTGTGCAAACAATTAAGAAATGTCCCAAACAAATGACAATCCTGGTGACAACAAGGTCCACTGCTAGCAACAGGCTTTACGGAAACCCAACCTCTGGTATAAAAAGAAGTCAGTACTGTTCTTTAGATTCTCACATCAGCAAGGGATCCAAGTTCTTAACTCACCTCCAAATCCATGTTTAATTTTACATTTTTGAATTTTACATTTTTGGAAAAAAAATCAGCAAAGTTGAAATAAAGAAATATGTCATTTAAGTCTAAACCCCTTTTTAATCGGTTTTAATTTGATCACTGTACTTATTTCCAAATGACACCAGTCTGTATATTAGGAAGTAAGCATAACCCCCAAATGAAAATCACTGCGGCAGGTACAACTCTATTCAAGAATTTGTAACAATTTCAGTAGGTTTTTCGAATTTAAAATGACAGCCAATACTTTATTAAACAAAACTGATACTGGGCAGCTGCATGTGAAAAAAATTATAACACAAGATCTCAAGAACTGGCATCTTAAACAGTGCTGCTAACTGGCAACTGCTCTACATGGTCATTGTTTCTAATCACCTTTCCTGAAATGCTATGTCTGAGACCAAGTGAAAATTAAAAATTAAGTTACATGGTTATTGAATGCAACTAGACATATGCCACAAAATCATTTTTACAATACATATTTGCTGAAATAATTCCTAAGTGAAGCTTTTTTATACACATATACAAAGTTTAGACAGCAATATACACATTAATCACAGTGAAGATGCTGGTAAGTTCACCATCTGTAGTGTAGATAAGAAAATGCAAAGCAGCTTTCAAAGAGAACAATGCTACACAGCAAGCAGAGCTGGTCTGTTAAACAGCAAAACACCAAAAGGTCCCTGAAAATGGGATACAGTGCAGGAAAAGCAGCATGCACTTTTATACAAATAGCAGTTTATGGCTAATGGTCAACGTAACTGTAGTAACAAAGACTCTTGAGCGGCTCTGCATAGTTAAAATTCCTATGTCATTTGTCTTTCTTTATACCATTCCACAAATTCATCCAATAACACTGGCCCTGAAAGACAGAAAATTACAAATCATTTGATAATTCTTGAAAAACCTAGAACATACATTAATAAACTATTTTTGCTGTCCATGCAGGTACGTACATGCACCATCTTCATCGTAATTGCTGAGGTCAAGATTAATGGTTCTGCTGAATTCCAGAACATTGCACCATTGGTCCTTGTTGATAACCTTGTACTTAGATTGCTGCTTAAAAACAAGTGTGATAGTTACAGAAAACAGAATTCTCCAGTTTTAGGTTATATTATTTAAGGATACTCCCAGGCCATTACTGAAGCCAGTTTTACAACTTTAAAATTACTCCAGTCCATATACTATTACGTTTAAGTGAAGAAAAATATTTGGAATTATCTTACTTGAAAAAAATACTATAAAGCAAGAAAAGTCATATATATATGACTTACGAGGATAGACTACTATGGGAATATGGAAGTCATTTTTGTCACTTTCAGTGATCCCACACACATTATTTACTTTGCTAGCCCATCTGCAAGAGTTATTGAGTTGCCCTCTATTGTTAGTGTTAAAAAGGAAAGGTGTGCTAGTAGACTTTAACTTGGAAAAATTACAAACATCATCTTCAAAACACCTTCATTTAGATTAAAGGGTGCAACATTTCCAGTGGAGCTACCACTCGGTCTGGGAGAGAGGATTCAGTCTTAATCAAATACTTTTAATACTGCATGCTCTAAAAACATTTCATAAAGAGTTTTTTTAATAAAATGTACCTCTAGGAACTGATGAAATACTGGAAAAAGAGGCCATGTTTTTCCTAAGAGAAGTCCTAACATACATTTGGCAGTATTTATATCTAGGCTTCGCTGGTCCTTTTCCTGTTAAAAGTCAGGGGGGAAAAATTCAGCTGCTGTATTCCTCATATGAATCAATATCTAAATCAGTTTATTCTTTGCAAAACACCATGTGTGACCTATCTGCGATTATTTACATTTACCTTTCTTTTGCTTTTTACATTATTTTAAAATGCACACAATAAAACTAAACTTCCTAAGTAGAACTAATAAAGATTCATCTTTTACTTTATTTTAACAACACTGGATGTTCATTAGATGTTTAATACATAAATTCTATGTTTCACATCAACACCAATATTCTTTACCGGCTAGCCAATTAAGTTATGATCTTCATACTTTCACGCATTGTGCTGTTTTATTGTACTATCTGTTTCATTTGTAACTGGTAATCAGCAGTACCCTGGGGGATATGTAAGGAACTTCCCCAAAGAATGTGAATATATTTGGGCATCCTGGCCAATGACTCTGTTAGCTGCTCTCTTTACCCTAGAAGCAACCATGTAAGTAGACTCAACGTACAGTAGCACATTTTTCTCATCTTTCTAAAAATGTATGTTTCTTCTTTGTGGCCTCTGTGAATGCACACAATTGGGTTTAGACTGCACCTGCGCTGGTCTTCTCGGAATATTCTAGAGCTTTTGTAGAAAAGTAAAATTGAGAGTTGCCCCTATAGCACATGCTCCACCCACCTCAGCCTTCAGTTCCATTTTACCGCCGTGGTGCTAGGAACTTCTCGGTATTAAGAGCTCGTTTTGATAAGTCTCCTTTGTTTTCTGACTCGGACTACACACTACGTTTCTGCCTTTCTATTGCCCCTTGATTCGGACTGTTTTTGGATACCCTCTTGCTCCATGAATTTGTCTTACGTCCTGACTTGGACCGTTTCACTTTCCCGTGCTGATCAGATTGGATTTGTTCTTTGAAAACTTGTTTCGTCTACTACTTTGACTTGGATTTTCGTCTAACAATTACGATTTTTCTTCGCCCTTCAGACTTGGTTTTTATAATTCTCATCAGAAAAATTTGCTGACTATTCCTTCATACCATGAGTCCCTTTATTTCCCTACTACTTTATGTCCCCCCAGGACCCTTTAGTAGGTGCGTGTCGTGTTCCCGTAAACTACTATTCTCAGATGGTCACGACGGCTGCCTCTTTTGTCTAGGGGACACCCATCAACCCCACTCCTGTAGACACTGCCTGTGTGCCTTTGCTTTTGAAGAAAACCCAGTTCATGTCTAGATGTGTTCTGGGGTAGCCTTGGAATGTCTTTTCTTTTCTGCCATTCACTCCATGTGCACAAAGTTGCAGTTCAAAATTCTTACTTTCCATTTATGAAACTGGGTAGCCAGATTGTGGTGAAAAAGAGGTAAAGCTTACAGGCATAATTGCTGGACTATCTTGTGGGATGTACCGTGGTTCCCCAAAAATAAAACAGGGTCCTATATTAACTTTTGCTCCAAAAATGCATTAGGGCTTATTTTCAGGGGATGTTTTATTTTTTTCATGTACAACAATCTACAGTTATTCAAATACAGTCATGACCTGTACAAAATGGTGGAGGGTGGGGTTTCACTTAACTGTGATTTATTTTTGGGGTAGGGGTTATATTACAAGCATCCTGAAAAATCATACTAGGGCTTATTTTCAGGTTAGGTCTTATTTTCGGGGAAACACGGTAGTGGGTGTGCTATCCCTAAAATTTGTAGTTTTCAAAATTATGATCTCCAGAGGAATCATTGCATGGCAGAATCAAGCAGGAAACCCAAAGTGAGCAGAACAGCAATAAGCACTGACTTTCAAATTATTCATTTGAGCAACCTGACATATCAAAAAACAGAAAACATTGGATCAGAATTATAAAACTATAAATGGAATTTTGCACACTGAACAGCATTTGACTTAGTATTTGGATAACATCCTCCTTGTGTAAACAATTACATGATTAGTGATGAAAGTGAAGTGAAAATAATTTGAAGTTGAGATTACTCACTCGTGCAAAGTCAAATGCATATCTGTAAATAAGTTTAAAATTTGTAGGCTCATTTAATAAAGATCTCAAGTAATCCAAAGAATTCCTAAGCTTCTCTGTTGTATCACATCTGTAAAATTAAAAATAAGAGATCAATTCACATTTCACAACTTTAGCTAGACTCCTATAACCAATATAGGCATTTAATCCAATATTTTTTTAGAACTATAAACTGCCTCTGCAAAAAGTTCAATGAGTTACAGCAACAATATAGCAGATGTGAACCCTTTAATTTTAATAATCGTGTCCTATAAAGGTCCCTCTGCAGCCCATTCGCAGATGGTCAGGAAAAGAAGCCATACGTAAAGTAATTAAAGTTTTAAAGACAATAGTATGTCAGCGCTAAATCAACTTTGCCTTTAGCATTTAAGGTCAATACTTACTGCAAGGACGTCATTCCTTTTAACCATTCTTGCAATGTAAAGTAACCCATGTTCTGAGCATCCAGCTTCCAAGCTAATACAAGCATAACTACCTAAATAAAAACATAAATAAAATGTGCATCACAATACTGGACCTAGATTTCTGATCTGTGTCTATTCAGAAATATTATCAGTCCAAGAGATAAAAAAAATACTCATTTTATCTATACCAGGTTCGGTGCTCTTAGAGGCCCATGAAGACCTTAAGATAATCATTTATTATGCAACAACAATTCTCTAGGAACAAAAATTGCAAAACTGAAGCTGTCATATTTTGGGCAATTATGAGAACGCAAGACTTGCTGGAAAACAGAATAATGCTAGGAAAAGTTGAAGGCAGCAGGAAAAGAGGAAGACTAAATATGAAATGGACTGATTGCATAAAGGAAACCACAACCTTATGTTTATAAGAGCTGATGAGGACAGGACATTTTGGAGGTCGCTTATTCATAGGTCACCATAAGTTGGAGGAAACCTGACAACAAGTAACAAGAACAACACCCCAATAGCCTGGAAACACTCACAGCAATAAACAAAATGCAAGCATTGGATTTGTTTCAAGGAAGGAAACTGAAAAGTTGGCAGAAGAATGACTCCAAAACAAACAGATTACATCTGTGGAGTGTATAACACTTCTCAGCAGCTAAAGTTTGCATGCTTGTATTTTTTGTAACTGACAAAAGTCATGCAAGCAAACAACATTAACTCTACCCACTGAACCACTTTCCTGCCATAAGAGGTACTGGGACTCTTTAACCTTCCTCCCACATACACATTCTGGTAGCAACAGAAGTCATGTACAAGATGCTTTCACACACACTGTCCTTATGGCGCTCATTTTGCTAAGGTAAAGCCAAGTAGGAGAAAGCAGCTGAGGTGCATGGATGAGAGCGCTCTGTCAAACCAACTCCATTTTTGCTCTCACTGAAGGAGAAAAGAGTTAAGGAACCGTCTTTCTGTATCTCAAAATGGGCAGCTAAGGTGCTGAATAAAGTTATTCTTGCCATGGCCTCTGCTTCTGTTGACATGGAACAGTAAGGGCTTGAATACACAACCTGTGCCCCACAGACCTGAAAGGCCTAGTAATTCAGAATTCTGTTGTTTTGTGAATGGGAAGCTCGTGAGGATGATACCACATTTCTGGGCTGCCAGAAAACTTAGTACAGTGGTGCCTCGCATAACGATGTTAATTGGTTCCATTAAAAACATCGTTATGTGAAAACATCATTAAGCGAAACACCATTTCCCATAGGAATGCATTGAAAACCGGTTAATCCGTTCCAATAGGAGCCTATTCAATACATTCCAATGGCGAAAAAAAAAACAACAAAAATTCAAAAAGACTCAGAACGAAGCCAAATTACTTTAACAAAGGTTTTATTAGGTGCACTAACAATTCCAAACATTTTAAACAGTTTTAAACATTTTAGAATATTTTTAAAATAGCGAAAACAGGGCTGTCAAAAAAAAAACGTTAGGCGAAACAGGGGACCTAAAACTGTCATCGTTAAGTGAAGCAAGGTCCCAAACATCGTTATGCGAAAATTCCCCATAGGTAACATCGTTAGGTGAGGCAGCAAAATTTCCCGCAAAGGCCATCGTTATGCGAATTCATCATTGAGCGAGGCACTCGTTAAGCGAGGCACTACTGTATGTAGGTTCACTTCCTTCAATAAGCCATAATTATGGTTGCAATATTTTCAATTGACTGGAAACTCATGAATATCCAAAAGGGAACATGTTTTATATAACCGAGTGGCTGACTCTTCCCACTCATAGCCATTTTTATCCTCCTCAGAGCAAGGTTTTAAATAGTTGAAATGCATAAGCAGCTAAAAGTTTAAGCATGAGAGAAGAAAAATGTGAATGAGTAAGTAAAAACTTTACAATATTCTACTTATTATGTGAAACGGAAAGAGCTTTCTGCCACTTATAAATGACCCTTAACGTACGTTTTCTGGTTCAACTCCAATGTCCTCACAGAATTTCTCCATTCCTTCAGGACCCACAATATCATCTGTTCCTACAAGCAAATGAGACTGTGTTACTTTCACTTGAAAAGTTAGCTACATAGTTACAAACATTTAAATACTAAATTACTCAAGACATTACAGTCCCACAAGTATGACTGTTTAAATATAGTCTGCTTGGGATTGGTTACAAGCCTCCCCAAAGATAATGAAATGGTGGATAATAGTGAACTTTGTGTGTGTGTGTGTGTGTGTGTGTGTGTTTAAAAGAAAAAAAACCGGGAAAGAGACCATGCTATCTATTCTTCACTAACAAGTATTCATAGCATGCTCTCTGCTATGGCTGGTTCTGGTAATACGTATGAAAATAGGTTTTTTTCTGGATTTTTCTTTTAATATTTTTAATATTTTCAGACCATGAAACCAGATACTGATTCCGTAGATATGAGTTTAGCGAAGTCAATTTTTGCAAATTTAAGTGTGTCAAAAAAGGGTTAAAAACGGCTTTAAATGCTTGGAATAGTTTCAGCACCTTCTAAAATGGGTGCAAACTTAATTTGGCTTTCATCTGACTTTTCGTTAATTTTTGGTGAATTTTTTCCTCCCCCATAGGAAATAATGGACCTGTCAACTTTTGACAGCTGTCAAAAGTTGGTTTCCATGATTTCCTATGGGGGAGAAATAAATTCACCAAAAATTAACGAAAAGTCCGATCAAAGCCAAATTAAGTTTGCACCCATTTTAGAAGGTGCTCTAACGAATACAAGCATTTACAACCGTTTTTGACCCTTTTAAGGCACTTTTAAAATTGAAAAAAGAAACATCGCTAAGTGAAGCAGGGGACCTAAAATCGCATTCGCTATGCGAAGCATGGTCCCAAACTTCGCTAAGCGAAGATCGCCCATAGGAAACATCGTTAAACGGTGCATATTATTTTTTAAAAAAACCATAGTTAAGCAAAAACATCGCTAAACGAGGCAATCGTTAAGCGAGGCACCACTGTAAAGTTGACCCAAAATTAAACATGCAGCAAATGAACGTTTCATAAATATTCTTAATAAGAGTATCTAAAACCCTTTGTAAGATTTATATATATAACCTTGATAGATAGATAGATAGATAGATAGATAGATAGATAGATAGATAGATAGATAGATAGATAGATAGATAGATAGATAGATAGATAGATAGATAGATAGATAGATAGATAAACAAACTTTTTTTTACTTTTTGGAAAGCTAGAGCATCTGAACCTTGTTTTAATTGAAAAATCCAGTGACCTAAGCGCTTCCTTACAAATACTCTATATTCAAATTGGAATGTGATTTTTTTCTATCTTAAAATGTCAACATCCTTTCAATAATAAACAATATACACAGATTCTTACCTGCATATTCATAGAACCATTCTAAGCACCTCTTGCTTGAGAACATGTCATCTTCTGTCTTTATTCTAGTAGAATCATACTTTCTGTACAAGCTAGCAATGAACAGAAAGGTCAAGAATGTACTGTTTCAGTTCTATAAAAAACAGATATTGATCATAACTACTCTTTGGAGCTATCTCACATTCCTATCAATTGCAAATTTCTGAAACAAATAAATGAATCCTCAAGCGAGCCAAACAATAACTTACAATTATATAATAGAGAATTCCTATTTAATTCATGATTTATTTACCGGAACTCAGTATCATGTAGTGGGTAGAGTGACAGACTAGGACTCTGGAGAGCAGGGTTTGAATCTCCACTCAGCCATGGAAACTGACGGGGGATGGAACTGACCACTCCTATCCTAAAATATCTCACTTTCCTTGAAATCCCTATTAAGGTTGCTGTAAGTCATCCATTTTGGCTTGAAGGCAAAAAAAAAAAAAAAAAAAAAAACTTGTGAGATACCCATGGCATACCCATAGGAGTAACATAAAGAAAAGGCCAGCAAACCTATCCTGGCATGTTCCAGATTTCTTCTCTGAATCACCAGCTTTCACATATCTAGTTGCAGATATACAAGGAAAAACATGCAAAATACATCGTGGTTTAATATCCTGGTTTGTTAACTACAGGTGGTGCATATAAAACCATAATTTTCTTTTTGGACAAACCGTAAACTCAGTTTGTTACAAACTCTAACCAGAAGTTTTACATTTCCAACTCTCTGTGTGCAAATTATGCTAAGTGAGTCAAACTGTGCATTAACTTGTGCACATGAAACAATCCATGATCATGAGCTGAGCCAATGTCTTCATCCTGGTCTGTATAATTATTTTTACAACAGGGACCAAAAGGAGAGGGAGGGGTCTTATTCTGCTGCAAACTCCAAAATATGGCCACCAGTCATATTTTGATACCATAGGACATTTTAGATATATTTCATATACAGTGGTGCCTCACTTTATGAGTGCTCCATTTGATGATGAAATCGCATGATGTTTTTGCAATCACAAAACAATGTTCCCTATGGGGGAATTTTGCTTTGCGATGATCAGTTCCCTGCTTCGGTAACCGATCATCGCAAAGCAATTATTTTCACAGAGCTGATTGGTGGTTTCAAAATGGCCGCCGGGTGAAAAAACCGGCCGGCCGCTGTTTTCTGGGACGGATTCCTCGCTGCACAGGCAGCAAAAATGGCCGCGCTATGGAGGATCTTCGCTGGACGGTGAGTTTGAAGCCCATAGGAATGCATTAATTGGGTTTTAATGCATTTCTATGTTTTTTTAAATATCGCATTACGTTTACGTTCGACAGCAATTCTGCTGGAACGAATTAACGTCGTCATGCGAGGCACCACTGTATAAGGTATATGAAATCCACATGTCCAATTGCAGAACTGTGTCACCCTAACCTATTTCATATGAAAAATTACTATATTCATACCTTATTATTCTTCAAACAAAGACAAAATTCTAGAAAGCTCAGTGGTTTAAGCACCTGGCTGCGGAGCCAGAGCTTGGGGAGTCTGATTTCCTGCTGTGCCTCCTTGACAGGGGCTGGACTCGATGATTTATAGTTCTGCATAGTTCTTCCAGTTCTAAAATTATTATGTAGATTGCCAGAGTTCTAAATCAGCCATTTTAACGCTTTTTTTTGGGCCATGGCCATAAACACCATATGAAAGAAATGCAGGCCCAATCAGGATTGTATAAATCACAGAATGAACCTTGTAAGGTTGTGTGTGAAGAACTGTTTTCTCTGTGGCCCCTTTCAGATGTGGCCCTGTTGAGAATGGCTGCTCCAAACCGTAAGGAAAGAAACCTGCTACCTCTCTCGGGGCTATCTCCTCCCGGCCTGTCTAGCCAGAGGCCATGACTCCCAGCTGATATGCAAATGCACAGCAATGTAAAACCACCTACCCATCATGTCTACTTTTTTTGGCAGATAAGTCATCTCCAGCTGCAGGCCGCCTCTTTTTTCTTGGGGGCATCACTTTGCTAAAGCAGTCTCTCCAACTGCAAGACCTGAGACTTCCTATGAGATAATTTAGTAGAGAAAAGAATACAAATTTAACAAATGCAAAATTTTAGTCAGCAAAAACAAGAATCCTGTCTTTGGGAGGATATACATTCAATAAATAAATTAACAAATATTCGACATAGTTCTACTCAGACTGAAAAGTGTTTGAAGAAAATTTACAAAACTTTAAAAAAAACCAGCCTTTTAAATATGGGGAAATAGGCCATAATACAACCACAAGTTACTGAAGTATCAAAATGTCCACGCTAAAATATACAGTGGAACCTCTACTTACGAACTTAATCCGTCCCAGATGTTTGTTAGTTGAAACGTTCGTAAGTAGAAGCAAAATTTCCCATAGGAATGCACTGAAAACTGATTAATCTGTTCCAGCTGTTTTTGGTTCTTATGTAGAGGTGCCGTTCATACATTGAAGCATTAGTTCCCATAGGAACTAATGCAAAGCTGGTTAATCCGTACTCTACCACTAGGGGGAGAATTTTTCTTCTTTTGACCTAAATTGAATTTAGGTCAAAAAAGGGCAGGAAAGGAAGGAGGGGGGAGGGAGGGAACAGCTTCTAAACAGAACACCGTTAAAAACAAGCACCTTTTAAACAAAACCAAGCACCTTTTAGGTTAAAAAAAGGGCGGGAGAGGGAACACCTTTTAAACAGATTATGCCAATGTCTTCCTGCTACCATTTTGTGACTGGCCTTACTCCTGCATCAGTTTGTAACTGATCAGTCTTAGTAATTTCCAACTTTCTCAAGAGGGCCTTGAAGGCAGAAAATCTGAAAAATCCTGCTCAAGCTGATACTTCTTTAAAGAGATGAAATTTCCAAGAAATCATCAAAGGCCACAAAATACAACATAGAAATGTTTGCAAAGAGCAGGTTGTTCCTTGCTAAGTTAGGAATCAAGTCTTTTTTAAAAGCTCTTTAGGAAATATTTAATAGTGAACTTTCCTTGATAAAGAGCAGGGTGGATTTGACTTAAACTGATGTAAATTATTATATAAATTTTAAAAATGAGATTTTTTTTGACAATTTAGGGGTTAGGGGTTATTTTCGAGGAAACAGGGTATTAACTCTCATGGAGCTCATTAATGATCCCAATGTCTTGTTCAGTACCTCTACCTAATTTAGCATATTTCTAATAATATATCACTCTAAAACAAAGGATAAACAATTTTGACATAAAATTATTATAAAATTATCTAAAAAGCACTCAAGACAAAACAGAACTGTGCAAAACTGCACAGTATATATGCTATGGTGCAGAACGACTACCCACTTAGCACCTACTTTCTGAACTTGAGAAAACAGTACTAAAAGATGTTCACAGATCCAAGTGAGCTGATATAATTATACTTGTCATGTTTTTTTCCAAAAAGTCATTAGTCAGGTTGACCATAACTCTACTTGTGCCAAACAGGTCTAAAGCCAAGCTGAAATTGATCCAATTTTTATTTAAGAGAAACCTAGGTCATATTTTAGGGCCATAGGTGCTCTCCAGTATATATATAACACAACTTCTGACAGATAAATCAAAATCCCATAAAACCCAACACGTCTAAAAAACAACAACCATTAACACAGCATCACAATCTTAAGGCAATTATAGCTATTTTCAAGGAATGTAAAATGAATTTAAAATATCAGCACAAATTTAATTCAGACAACACAAGACACCTGAATACTATGTGCATAAAGGTGAACTACAGACCCTGGTTTAAGGCACAGAAAAGTCAGATTCATATACTGATGATTTCTTTTTTTCTTGATGGCACCACTATATTACAAAAATATATACAGTATAAGTAAAAAAGGTGAACTACAGACCCTGGTTTAAGGCACAGAAAAGTCAGATTCAAATACTGATGATTTCTTTTTTTCTTGATGGCATCACTATATTACAAAAATATATATAAGTAAATCTATTCTTGACTGAATGCATGCAAGCTAAGCCACCTCTGTATATATTATCTACCATTTCCTAGCAGCTACTGCTGCAAGCAAAAGGCTGGATATCCCACTTGAAAAATTCATTCTTTATTTTGCCTCTGCTCTCAGAATGCTGGCTCACTGGGGTGAAAAAAAAACTCTTTTATTTCTGGATGATGTTGCATGCTCTTCTCTGAATAGCCAGGAGGAAAGGAAATCTGCTTGGGGAAGAGCATCCACTTGAGAGATGAAGGGGCAGAACCTGCTCTAGAAACTCTATTTACAGTCAGTCTTCAATCTGCAGGAATGTGTATATTCTTGCAAGATGATACATGATTGCTTCGAAAACTAATTTTAAGCTATGGGTGTCTTAAGACCTTTATGTGCACATTTCTCCCTTTTGACAGTAATTTGGTGAATGTCTGTTTCATGATATTCCTTGAGGCGCAGTGGTTAAAACTGCTGTACTGCAGCCATAATTCTACTCATGACCCAGGTTCAGCCCCTGGTTCCCTCATCCTTCTTAGGTTGGTATACTGAGTACCCATCTTGCTTGGGGGAGGGGGCAATGTTTAGCCTGCATAATTAAATTGTAAACTAGCCAGAGAGAGCTTTAAGCATTTTGAGGCAGTGCATAAGCAGCATACTTTGCTTTTGCTTTACAGAAGTCAGAAAATTTACTTACTATACAGCCTGAAGCCATGCCATACAGTAAAGGCATAACCCGTAAAATGTGCATGATTTGCTTAGCTGTGGCTTATCATCAGATGCCAAGTCCAATCTTGTGCATGCTTGTTGGGTGTTGATAGTCCATCATTGCATGTTGTTATCTTGTTACAAATTTTAAAGACTGAGAATGCATTTTTAAAAGATATTTCAAAACCCATATACCATGTGAATTTACTTAACTTCAGGACTCAACTCCTCTCTTTTGCTGATTCACGTACTACCTCATGAAAAAACAGGTATCTATCTACGTTGTTCCTTTATCAATTAGCACTTCTAGTTCATCCCATTCTCTTTCAATCCCTATCAAAGGATACAGGAACAACACACACCTAGCTGTTCACTGATCCACAATATCATTGGCTTCAGAGTTGGTTTCCCAATTCCTCAACCAGCAGTAGAAGAAAAGTGCAGCTAGAAGATCATAGAGTACCTTGGAAGTAAGCACAGCATGCTAGACAGCATAACACCTTTACTGCTTGCACAGTATGGAATCTAAGCTAGGACTCCAGAATTTAAACTATTGTATGACACAGATTCCAAGTTAAAAGCCACAGTTGTATGACAGAGCACATGCTTTGCACATGGACATTAATGTCTGAGAAAAACCTCTGCCTCTTGTCTTGGGTCAAATGAACCAACGGTCTGATATATAATAATTTCATGTTTCTTATACGTTCATGCATACCATTCAGTATCTACTTAAATAGTACCACATACAAGAGAGTTTCTATTAGAATTACGGTACAGTAGAACCCCTCTATCAGTGGGATAAGTATCTGCTGATTTACTTATCCGCTGGCTGGAAATACTACTTTTAAAAAAGCCCAACTATTTATATGTACTCCCAGGGTGTATTTACCAGAACTGACCACTAGAGGCAGCCAGAGACCATGCAATGCATAGCATTCGTCTGTGTTTTTCAGCATGGCGTGGGTGTGGAACCAATCTCCCATGGATACTGTGGTTCTACTGTGTTTTAAGATAATTTCATGTGTGAAGACTCATCACCCAAAGGATGCACTACAGAACAAACATTAGCAGCTTCACTAAAACATATAGCAAATTTTACTACACTACACATTGGCAATGTATTAACAATGACCAGAATTCTACTGGTGATTTATTTGCACTTTCCTTTGTGACCCTATGTTAAGTCACAGCAGCAAAGAACTACTAATTAAAGACATGTTAGTTAGCACTCCTAAGTGCATGTGCAGCAACACAACCAGCACTTTGTCAGCTGGTGACAATTTATCATTACTTAGGTTATTTCACTTATTTACATGTATATCACCAATAGGATTCTAACCAATGTATCTGCAAAATCATAACTAGGGAAAGATTCAGTGAAAATTAATGTAACACTGGAGTCACTGTGATAAAAAGCTGCTACAGTGGGGTCTCTACTTAAGAACTTAATCCGTATTGGAAGGTGGTTCTCAAGTGGAAAAGTTCTTATGTATTTTTAACCTAAGATGACCTAAGGTTAAAAAAAGAGCAGGAAATTTTTTTTCCTGTTCTTATCTTGGATTTTTGTTCTCAAGTAGAAGCAAAATTTAGCAAATGGAGCTGTTCTTAAGTGGAATTGTTCTTAAGTAGGGACGTTCTTAAGTAGAGACCCCACTATACATGGTTTCACTTCATGTTGGGGGTTACATTTACTGAGGGGGGGGGGAGAACCAGTCAATTTTAGACAACATTACTGGACCCAAATTGTAACTGAAACAACAGTATCAAATACTGAAAAACAAATGCTCCTTCTCTAAGGCCCTTCTTGGATGCCCACTATTTGTAGTGAGGATGCTGGAGTATGTCAGAGAAAAAAACAGCAATGCTGTTAGGACAGAGGTCATCAACCCCTGGTCTGCGGTCCGGTGCTGGTCCGTGGCCTGAGCTGGACCAGGCTGTGGAGACAGACCTCCACGCCCCCTCCCACACGCACTCTCCTCCCCACAGCTGCTTTGCACGCACACGTGTGCTAGCGCTGGCATGAGCGCTCCCCCATCGCTTCATGCATGCGCCCGAGCGCCTGAGGAAGAGCGCGCATGAGCGTGGGGGGGTGGCCCACCTTCCTCAGAAGCTCAGGCAGTCCGCAATCCCAAAAAGGTTGGGGACCGCTGTGTTAGAAGGTTAGACTACATTATAAGCCTGGCCTTCTAGCAGGGGCACCCAAGGTGCTCAGAGCTAGTCAGAGCTGAGGCAGTAGACTAAGATGCATCCACCCTCTTCAGCAATAACTGCTGCACCAGTAGAAGAATACAGATAACCTCTAAGGTGATGGGGGCAGAGAAATTTCCAGAGGGCAGCAGCACTCACTGAAAATGATGCTAGCAGAGGATCTTTCACAGACAACAGCACTGTCACTCAAGCTACCACTCAAGCACTGTACTACACAGAAGGCGGCAACGGTAAACCATTGCTGAACCTTTCTTACCTCAAAACCCTATGATGAGATCGTCCAAAATGAAACAAGAGATAGTGCTAGAAGATGAGATTCCCAGGTCAGAAAACACTTAAATACTGGGGAAGTGCAAAGAAAAAGTACAAATATCACTGTTGCTAATGATGCAACTAGATTAAAGCTGGAAGGATGTGCAGAGAGGTGGAAAAAAAGTCCAGTGCTGCACAACACATACAACTAGAACATGGAACTTGAGAAGTACAAATCAAGGTAAACAGAAAACCATAAAACAAGAAATGAGATATTTAAATATTACGGTTCCCGCCTATCTAGTTGTGGTGGACTACTCATTTAAATATTACGGTGCTTGTTGTCAATGAACTAAAGTGGACTGGACTGATACATTTTCAGGCAGACTACTACAAAATGTTTTAATCTGGAAATGACAAACTCAGAAGAAATGGAGTGGATCTAATACCGAGACAAGATGTAGCATAAGCAGTTAGGAGCTACAATGAAAGGTCTGTATTCTGGGAAAATCCATCAATATAACCATAATTCCAAGTCCTTGCTCCAACTACAAATACTAAGGAAGAAAAAATTGAAAGCATTTATGCAAGCAACCAGGAAGAAAAATGGTCACATATCATAAGAAGACATGCTTATAATCATAGGTGACTGGAGTGCAAAAGTAGGAAATGAAGAAGAAATGAAGCAGGAAAATGACTTGTAGAATTCTGGGAAGACAACAATTTCTTTATCACAAAAACATGCTTCAAGCAATTGAAAAAAATACTGTATACATTGATACCACCAGATGGGCAATACCGTTAAGCGAGGCACCACTGTACATTGATACCACCAGATGGTCAATATGGAAATCAAATAATTTATCTAATTGGAAGCAGGAGACGGAGAATCTCTATTCTGTCTTCCAAAACAGCACCAGGAGCAGATTATGTTACTGAACATTGTTAGTATGAAATATTATAGTAAAGCTGAGGAAGAGAGCTCAAAGAATCCTAGTGTGAACATTTCTGGTTAAAGTCAGGAGAAGAACAGATGTGCATTACAGAACTCATTTGACTGAGAACCAGAAGAAGTATGGATTGAAGCCAGATATATTATTAGGAAAGAATGCAAAAAGACAATTCCTGTAATAAAAGTAAAAAAGAACTTAGATGAATGACAGAATAAACAATTAAAATAAGGGCAGGCAAGAAGCAAAAGTAAAAGATGACAGAAATAGGTCAGAATCCTGAATGCAGCTTTTTGGTGACTGTCACAGAGACAGAGAACTATTACAAAGCAAAGAGAGAACAATAGAACATAATAAACAAAACATCTCTTCCTGAAGATCCAAGAAATCAAAGGGGAATTTAAGCCTAGATTAGGAATGTTGAAAGAGGGAACAGGGAAGTACACTATTGGATCAGGAGAAAATAAAGAGAAGGCAGAAACAGTACTTATAAGGAATAGATAAAAGGATGAGATTCCTTTGAAGAATTCTATGAAGAACCTCCAGTTCTAGAAAGTGAAGTAAAAACTGCTCTGAATGTTCTGTGAGGAAATAAATCACAAGTGGTAGATAGGATGCCAATAGAACTATTTCACACTACGGAGACTGAATTTGTCAAAATCCATGCCAACAAATAAAGAAAACAATGGCCCCCATACTAGAAACGTTTGATATAGATACCAATCCCCAAGAAAGGAAATGCCAAGGAGTACAATAACTATAGGATCATTACTCTAATTTCCCATGCAAGCAAAGTGATGGTTCAGATGTTACAACAAAAGCTTTTATCTTATATTGATAAAAAAAAAATGATTGTTGTTCAACTTGGATTCTGTTACGGTCAGCCATAGCATTACCTGTCCGTCACAGCTGGGAGGGAAAATCTCAGCCAATTAGAGAGTGGAGGGTGGTGCAGAGGCGGGAGGAGCTGTGCTATATAAGGTGTGTGTGAGGTGTGAGTGGGTCAGATGGAATATAGATAAGAGATAGGAGATAGCAGATAGATGAGAGATGAGTGTCTGAGCTGCGAGTAGAAGTGATCTTAGTGTCAGTGAGAAAGAGTCTGTGAGAGCTAGTGCCTGAGAAACAGTATTTGATTATTTCTTTAACAGTGATTTACCATTCCTTTCTTTTTGTATTCAATAAACCAAGTTTTTATTTTTCAAAGTTATACTGGCCTGCTGTATGATTCTTTAAGGAATGGTTGGTGGCAGTAAAGAAGAGTGAAGAGTTTTAAAGTGACGTGACGACCTCCCTTTGTGAGTCTTGAGGAAGGCCGTCACAGATTCCAAAAAAGAAAAGGCACTTGAGATCATATTGTAAATATCCACTGGCTACTGGAGCAGACCGAAGAATTTCAGCAGAAAATGAGTCTGTGCATTATAGATAGAGCAAAGCCTTTGACTGTGTGGATTATGGGTAGTTCTGAAAGTGTGTCCCAGCACTTGATTGTCCTGATGCATAACCTGTACTGAGGGCAAGATGTTACAGTTAGGACAGAATACCGAGAGACAAAATTGTTTCCTATAGGCAAAGGTGTCAAGGGTGCATTTTATTTCCTTATATGTTCAATATAAAGTTGGATTAGATTCAGATGGAGGAGGAGTGAAAATGGGAGGAAGAAACGTCAATTTAAAATATGCAGATGTCACCATTTTAATGGCAGACAGCAGCAATGACTTGAAACAACTTCTGCTTAGTGAAAGAAAAAAGTGCCAAGTGCAGTTGAACAACAAAGACAAAAATCATGACTACAGAAGAACTACAGAACTTTAATGATGACAATGAAGAAACTGAAATAGCTAGAGACTTTTTATACTTTGGTTCAATCATAATTCCAAATAGAGACTGCAGCCATGAAATCAAAGGCTGAGACTTAAAAGGGCAGAAATGAATGAATTAGAAAAGATTATCAAATGTAAGGGTGTGACACTGGAGACCAAGGTCAAAATCATCAACACTGTTATATCCCTGATCATTATGTACAGGTGTAAAACTGGATAGTGAAGAAGACTGACATTTTAAAAAAATTCCTGATTTATTTGAAATATGATGCTGGAGAAGAGCTTTTCAGATACCTTGTACTGCCAGAAAGACAATCAAGTGGTCCCAGAACAAATCAAGCCTGAACTATCTGGAGGCAAAAATGACAAAAACTGGGGCTGTCATATTTTAGGCACGTCATGAGAAGGCAAGATTTCCTGGAAAAGACAATAATGTTAGGAAACGTTGAAGGCAGAAAGAAAAGAAGAATAACAAATAAGAGATAGATTGACCCTATAAAGGAACTACAGGCTTGAGTCTACAAGAGATGAGCATGGCTGCTGGGGACAGGGCAGTCTGGAAATCACTCATTCGTAGGGTTTCCTTCCAAGTTTGAGGCAAACTGACGGTATGTTAACAACACAACAACAACATTCTCTAATAGTGAACTTCACAAACTAAATATCATTGTTAATCCTTTGATGGATTACACTTTTCTTTGTACTAACTTCTAGAGAAGAGAAACATGACAGGTTTTCCCTACATCTAACATTTCCAAAAATCCATAATATATTTTTTTATTTAAGGGTTCTTCTACCTGCTTGACGATCGTCTTGACCAGCGTCTTCTGTCAAATTCTGTAAAAAGTTTAAATCAGTACAGTTAACTGGGAGTTTAGCTGTCCCCAAATTGCTTTCAAACACCACTAACTACCCCATTTCATCTTACTGCTTCCTTCCCCTTTCTCTTGTCCTTTGTTAAATTTTAGCTATCTGAAGCTTTGAGGTGCAGGGACCTGTCCTCCTACATCTTCTTGTATAATGGTTTAGTATTGCATAATATTCCACAGAGCTTTCCACAGTATGTCCATTTTTGGTTTTTCAAATTGAGACAAGAAACCTAAGATGAATTTTCTTCCTAAGTTTTAAAAAGATCTGTATCCCACCTTTCTGCAAAAGCTTCCAGGGTGGTTTAATACTGAGGGATTTGCACAAAGACATTTACCACATAAGCCTTCATCTGAGGAAAAAAGTATGTGAGATCTTCTGTCTTGAGAAGATTCCAGTGTATATACTAATTTATAAGCATTCAAGAATTCTTATTTCATTATGCCCTTTGAATGCCTTTTAGCAGTCAAAAATATGGGCACCATGTAGCCACTGGACTTCAGATGCAAGTGAGTATGACTAGAAGTAATGCACTCTAGAAAAGACTACAGTACAGTAATCACACAGGGAACAGCAACTTAAGCAGAATATGACAAGAGGGATTTGTTGCAAGTTGGTATAGTAATATGACAAAAATGAGAGCCTCTTAAGCCTTCAGAAACAGGACAAGAAAAAGTTGGTGGAAACATGGTCAATGAAGCAACAGAGACAGAAGTAACTCTTTTAACATCCAGCCACAACTTGAGGTAGTAAAGGACAGTATCGACAGAAGTAACTCTTTTAACATCCAGCCAACTTGAGGTAGTAAAGGACAGTATCAACTGTAAAAACTCTGGTGCTGACTTTCAGCAAGTTTTGGTGGTTCTAACAACAATACATTAGACTGGGACCTGACATATTAACTGTGTGGAAAGTGGATGAATGTGTATCCACAGGTGAAGTCGGAATTTTGCTTTTCTTGAACATCCTTGTGCATGATATTGCTCTACTAAAATTACTGTGGAGAGAAGAAGCATCACTTTTGCCTACCACAGCTAGTCACACCCACTGGGAGAGGGAAGAAGGTACACACCATGACTACAACCATTATGTGGAGGTCTATGTGCGATGTGGTGGTGCTGCGGATTAAATCACAGAAACCTCTGTGCTGCAAGGTCAGAATACCAGCAGTCACATGATTGAATTCACACGATGGAGTGAACTCCCGTCACTTATCTCAGCTCCTGCCAACCTAGCAGTTTGAAAGCATGTCAAAATACGAGTAGATAAAGAGGTACCACCACAGTGGGAAGGTAACAGCATTCCGTGTCTAGTTGTGCTGGCCACGTGACCATGGAAACTGTCTATGGACAAATGCTGGCTCTATGGCTTGGAAACAGGGATGAGCACCGCCCCCTAGAGTCAGACACAACAAGCAGGCAGGGGAAAGTATATGAGCAGGAGAGCTTCATTTCCCCCCTTTGTAAAGATATGCTAAATAGCCTACCTCACTCTTTGTCCTTTCTCCTTGGAAATACGCTAACAATTTTTGTCACCATTATAATAAACAGAGACAATCTGTTGTTTCCATAAAAGAATGGGAAAGAGAAGTGCAGCCATTACAAAATACTTTGTGAACATGAACAAAATACAAATATAGGGTTTCAAATAATTCTCACACATCTACTTTCAAAAGCACAGTCAGTTCGAGAGAATCTGTTAGGAACTGTGTGGTCAGAAATACAAACGAGACATCCAATTAATGCAGGCACACGTGCTTAAAGAAAGCAGTTTAGTCCATACACCATTACCCACAAAAGACAAAACAATAGAATCCAAGTTATAAACAGGTTCTGACCTTTGACACTTCCCTAGATGCCTGCTGTAACGAGTTTGGATCACTTCATAAAGATGAATCCCCTATTGCTCATTAGCTGAACTACTATTTGCTGAATGTTTACAACCATTCTAACATCTCAGAAGTTACAATTATTGACACAGTGTATACGTACAAGCTGCTGAGTGCTTTTCAGGGCAATGAATAAAAGAACAGTGTTACTACTGCAGTGCAAATGTATGGATATGGGGTATGATGGAAGAGATGAATTAGAAGAATACCTGTGAGCTTATGTATAAATGATGTGAAAGTCTGTGAGAAAATGAACAGGGATATGAATGGAAAAGTGAGAACTTAGTGGAACCAATTGCACACAGATTCCCTTTTAAGTAACAGAAGAATACTCAAATATACATTGAAGATTAGTATACTTCACAGATTGGGAAAAATATACAAATTATTACCAGCCTATTAAGAGTATGGTAGATCTTGTGAATATTTGCCAATGTTGATAGATGAGAGTTCAGCTGAAAGTCTAGAAAGAAAGAAAGAAAATATAAAACTTACTAAATACCTTTCAAATGTCTGCAAAAATAAGACTAAAATTAATAAAGAATCTAGCAATACAAAAAAATTAATTTCTGTTGCCTTTTTACTTTTAAAAAAGTCCTCCATTCCAGGAACAGGAATTTGACTAATATATATTAATTTAAGATATAGCAGTATTTTGCACAAATTCAGTTTAAGTGCAGTCCAGCTAGAAGATCTTAAATCTGATAACTAATAAAAGCCTTACCTTCCATAAATAACAGAAAATAAACAACAGAATTACTTTCATATATATTACACCAATATATTTTCCAAAAGCACGTTTACCACAGGGAAGGCAGGCTTTATAATTTATACAGACTCCAAGCACAACTGATAATGTGAAACTGATAATGTGAATAAATACAAATATTTATTAGACAACCAAACCATGTTAGATACCCAGAACGAGCAAAATGATCTTTCACGATCTCTAAAAAAACATTTACAAAGCTGTACTTATAGGTTGCTACAGGAATCAGCTTTGGTTTTTTTCTGAAACTAGTTCAAACCATGGTTAGGAGTGTAACAGAATTAAACCTACACATACCCTCAAGCATCAGAGAACTATAGCACAGACCTACACCTTGCTGGCCTCTACAAGACAAGTGCAGTTGCACTAACTTAACTGAGATAATGAGACCCAGGCTATACAAAACTGGGGCACTATGATGCCTGGAATTCTATAGTAATAGTTCATGACAGACAGATTTGTGCCAACATAATTGACTCCATGGTGACAAGTGTCTCTAGAACCGTGTAGAGACAAGTCATCTAAAGGTACCACCATAAAAGCTTTACATTATTATGTACAAATCACGGGGCAGGGATATTTAGTCCTTGCACACCACTGGCACATCTTCCTGCCCCAGCATGAAATTCCTAACAGCAGACATACGGCTTCATGAATTAAATCATTCACTAGCAGAGCTGTTCAGAGTACATTATATCAATTTTATCTGAACATAATCTTTGGATCAGGTCAGTATCTTTATTTTTACACTAGGCCTAAACATCACTTACCCCCCATAAAAGCCATCATTTTATTCTGTAAGGAGATATTTTGCCTGTTCTCTAAATATGTACAAAATGTAACGTGAGGTTTTCTATTTACAGTAATATACACTTATCCATAGCCCTGCAAAAATTGTCTGGAATAAAGTAATATCTGCTGTATGCCCATACGAATTATGAATTAGAGACCCATCTGGCCCCTGTAAGTGAACAGACTGGATATTATTGTTTTAGAATGGTCAGTCAAATTATGACTGACATCATAAAAGAAGTGCTATGACGTTCTACCTAAACTGTTCTCTAAAAGAATATCTTTTCTCTCTATATGAAAGGATGTCTGGCTCCTTGAGTAAAATGGATTACTGATACAACAACTGATACATTATTAGAATCCTATTCAGACAATCTACAAAAGGACTAAAGATGCATGTAAGGAGCATACTATGCTATGCTATGCTATACCCACCCTGTATTGACATTGTCTATACACACCTAAACCAGCCATATCTACAGAAGAGTTCAGCTGGAGACATCTGAATGTCACCTTCAGTTATTTGACCTGTTAGTTCTTCTGGTATCTAATTGAAAGCATTCTACAAGAGTGGAAGCTGATGTATTTCAATCCAAGGCTGGAAAAAAATCAGTCAGTAGTCAGTATTGAAAAGCTAGCATGGTAGATAGAAGTCAAACTGCTTACCACAAAATAAAATGCTCCCCCTCAATAGTTGTTATAAATCCAGTGCTCAAGACCCTTTTAGTGAAATACAGTATATGATTTAGGAGGGAACACATGCCCTGTTAATCAACAGGATTTTAGCCAATGATTAACAGATTAGATGTTGCTTACTATAGTAAATTACAACTAGAGAAGGGCTACTGAATCAAAGAAATTTACAAAGGAGTTGATTCACAAAATCTCCATTAATTCAATGGACCAATTCTAGCGTGTCTTACTATACTAAGCAACAGGATGCTATGCATGCTACTTGAATCAACCAATCCCTGCACTCAATCGCAACAAAAAGGATTTACTCTCACAATTTCTAATGTCTAACATTAACAAGGTAATTTTGAACCCTATCATCTCAAATTCTGCTTCCAAAATGGCTAGGACCTCTTCAACTGCCCTTGGTATCTGGTAAGCTTATTTATATGCAGAGCTTGTTTTACTAGCAGGAGCCAAAACAGACTGCTTTCTAAAAGAGGCAAATTTAAATGTTCTTTTTTAATTATACATTTTCACTTCTAGAAATAATACACTAGGGCTTGTAACTTCACGTGTCTCTCATTACCACTGCAAACTTCTAAAATAATCAGAAGTAGATTAAAAAGGAATAGAATGCCAAGGCAGTTTAAAAGGAAGCATTTATTCTCAATAGGTACTATGTCTTTGTCTAAGGTTCTTTGATCATAGGCAAATAATTGTTGCAGTAATTTTTACAGTATTTTAAGGTATATGTGTGACAAGAAGAAAAATAAAATAAGAGGAACTTATTCTTTTTCTAATCTAGATTGCTAGTCCTGCCTAGAACTAGCAGAGGTCACTCAAATGAAGCAACAACAAAGAGTGGGGCTTACTCCAATGACCTTCTGATAAGAACATAATACCAAATAAAAAGAACCTAAATATAAGACATGCTTTCACAAATGGGGAATCTAAAAATAATTCACTAGAAAGTTAGAAATTTTAAGGTTTTATACTTATGTGACTGGTCTAAGGACTGTAAATAAACTACTGACACTAGAAAGTTGCGAAATGTTTGACTTTTGTTGTTGTTGTTTAGTCGTTAAGTAAGTTAAATAAGCAGGGAAACAATATACAGCCTGGTCGTACTCCTTTCCCAATTTTGAACCAATCAGTTGTTCCATATCCAGTTCTAACTGTTGCTTCCTGTCCCACATATAGGTTTCTCAGGAGATAGATAAGGTGGTCAGGCACTCCCATTTCTTTAAGGACTTGCCATAGTTTGCTGTGGGCCACAGGGTCAAAGGATTTTCCATAGTCATGTACTCAATGCTTATAATTCACATCTATTTATAATTTGCATCTATTCACGTGCAGACTGAATCACGAGGATGTACTCAACGAACTATTTCCCTTCAAGATAGTTTGAAAATATCACCTGATTCCAAATGCAGTTGCCAGATATTACCTACACAGTAATCAAATTACATTACAGTACTTTTGCATTAAGCCCTCTCCATTGTCAAAGATGCAGCAGTGGATACAAGGATCAGGGCCTTCTCTATCATGGCACCAAGCTATTGGAATATTCTCCAAAGGAAAGGCCAACTAACCATATCTTTACCCACTTTTCAAGAGGCGGTGAGAACCTTTTCATTTTTAAAAGGCTTCAGCCCTTCACTGAATTATTTGAAAGATTGCGGCAAGGTTGGTTTTATTTAAATCAAACTGATTTAAATCATAATTTATAGGATCATAGAATATAAGGCCATGGAAGCCAAAACACCCTACTCAATGAAGGAATCCAAATCAAACCAGATCTGACAGGTGTTTGTCCAATTTTCTCTTGAATGTATACCACTTGTCAAGGTAATCAGTTCAATTGTCATACTGCTCCAACATTTAAGATGTTCCTGATAGTCAGCCCAAATCTAGCTTCCTGTAGCTTGAGACCATTATGCACTCTGGGATGATCAAGAACAAATTCTGCTCCTCCTCTGTATGACTACCTTTGAAGTATTTGAAAATGCTATAATATCTTCCCCTCAGCCTTCTTTTCCCAAGGCTAAACATGCCCAGTTCTTTCAGTCTTTCTGCAAAAGGCCTGTTTTCCAGTCTCCTGATCCCCCTTCTTGCCCTCCACTGAACATGCTCCAGTTTGTTGGCATCCTTCTTAAAGAATGTGTGATGTCCAGAACTGGACACAGTATTCTAGATGAGGCCTAAAAACTGCTGAATAGAAGGGGACGAATACCTCATTGGATTTGGAGTACTTCTGTTAATGCAGCCTGAAATAGCATTTGCTCTTTTTGTAGCCACATTACACTGTGGGCTCATATTTAGTTTCTGATCTACAACTATTTCAAAATCCTTCTTACTTGTATTAATTACTGAGCCAAGTATCTCACATCTTGTATCTGCATTTGTTTTTTCCCCCTACGTGTAGAACTTTGCATTTATTCCTGTTAAAGTTTACTCTGTTGTTTTCACCCTAGTTCTCAACCTATCAAGATATTTTTGAATTTTGTTTCTATTTTCCAAGTTATTAGCTATTCTACCCAATTTTGTGTCATCCACAAATCTGATAAATATCCCCTGCTCTCCCTCATCCAAGTCATTAATAAAAATGTTGAAGAGAACTGGGCCCAGGACTGAGCCTTGGGGTACTCCACTTGTTACCTCCTCTCAGTTTGAGAAGGATCAACAGACTCTGAGTACAAGTCTGTAACCAGCTGTATATCCTCCTAACAGTGGTTCTGTCCAGCCCACACCTAGTTAACTTGCTAATCAGAATCCCATAAGGCACTTCGTCAGAGGATTTGCTGAAGTCAAGATGTATTGTATCTACAGCACTCCCACTATCTATCAGGGAGGTTACCTGATTAAAAAAAAATAAGATAGGGTTAGTCTGGCAGGATTTGTTCTTCAGAAATCCATGTTGACTTATAGTTATTACTGCATTGGGAGACAGTAGACTATATTGAGCTGAAATTACCAATCATCCCATTCAATGTACTCTACCTTAATATGCCCATACTGGCAAAGCAACAATAGCAACTTTGTTTGAAAATCCACACTGAATGTTGTTTCTGTCTTCTAAGACAGTGGTACCCAACCTTGGGCCTCCAGATGTTCTTGGACTACAACTCCCCTAAGCCTTCACACCACCTCTGCTGGCCAGGATTTCTGGGAGTTGAAGTCCAAGAACATCTGGAGGCCCAAGGTTGGG